GACGCATCTTGGGAAAGAGGGCTGGTGATCGAGGTAAATCGGCATGTATGTTTAATACAGTGCAAAAGTAAGCTGAACGCAACCTTGATTTAAAGAGGACGCACTTCACACTGCTGCCCCCCAATTGGAAAGTGAGGGACATGGACCTTCTGCCCACCCCCACCCCCTGTTCCTACACCAATGCATTAATAGCATGACCGTGTCAGCAGGCCTAAGCATCCGGTTAATTACAATGAATCATGCGATTTTTCCAGACTGCCCACGGACAACTATGGCACAAGAAGTTGCAGTGATGTGCTCGTCCCTAAGTTTCGCAACGCTTTTTTTCAACGTGTGCACGAATTACCACAATGTATTGGTGCTTTGCATTTTCCCTCCTTGTCTAATCGTAATGGACGGGGTTAAGAACAATTATCTCACGTCATTCAAATGTAACTGCGCAACAATTCCTGGCATGCGGGTGGTCCATAATGTTATGCTCTATTTTAAGCAGCCGCATTTTTATTTGTATCACCGTAGATTACAGCTGTGAGTGCGACCAGGACACCTGGCCACGCGCGGTCGGGCGTGATATTTTGATGAACCAATGTTCCCAAAGATCGGTTCGTATATTGTATATCCGCGCCGACATTGCCCATACGCGTGAAAATACATTGGGTGGGCTAGGACCGTCCACACCATCCACCATCCATCCACACCACACAGCCATCACCATCCATCACCACACAAAACCAAAGGAATGCAACTGAGACAAAAGAGCGTGGACACTTATAACTGTTTGTAAAAATGAAGTTGTTTTTAGCTAGTGGTGAAGAGTTATGCGTGTTTGCGGTTTTGACACGTCGATGACCTCCTAGGTTTGGTGGTACAACGCATTCTGGTAAAATGTGACGTTGCTCACTGCGGCGTATTGCACGTGGAAAGTGCAAACGTGCCTCATTAGTTTAAGATGGAAGACACATAATTCGCTAATCAACAAAAGTGGTCAGCTGGAGGGTGACACCGAGCTTCCTTGGTAGTTGCAGGCAGTCTCAGTGGAACCAAACTAACATACTGATATTCTGCAAGTAATTGCTGGTCCCACTGGCGCAAGCGCGTGCCAATGCGAGCGCACGTGTCATCGGTAAACACTAGCCGCGCTTGCTGTTGTGATGGCGTGCTGCTCCATGTTGACAATGCCTTCCATCAGCTCTTATTCCAGAACTATTGGACATTATCAACAGCAGGTTTGCTTCTGTGATAACACCACACAAGGGAGTGATATCAATTGCAGGATCATTGTTAAATCTTACCACCTTAGAAACCTTTAAACCAATCTCACTCATCGTCAGAAGTCCGCCACCCAGGCAGGAACGTTTTGATGATCGCCTCATCACCGCAGCGCATGAAGGTGCCATAATCTGCGTTGTGTCTTTTAAACGACTGAGCAGAAAGACTTTTAGTCTTTTAAAGCAGAAAAGTCCTCTAAACCACTTTTAAACGATAAAAGTAGTCTTTAAAACTTTAAAAGTGTTTTAAGCGATAAAAGTATTTTAAACGATAAAAGTCTTTTAAACGATAAATACCTTTTAAACGACTGAGCAGACGAGCAAACGACTCAGGGATTTCATTGGTAATATTGCATCAGGTTCAACTGATGGCAAAGAACCGAATGCATCAAGCAATGCAATCGCTTATTGCTGGCGAATGTGCTCTGCTGCACTGCTATGAGTGCATCGGGTGCTGCACAGGTGCTGCGTTTGAAACGAACTTTTAGGCTCACAGTGATAGGGAACCATTCAAAACACGATCATTATCAACGCTGTCTTGGGACAGCTGGGTTGGCTGAACGTGGATAAGCTAATAGTACCGAGTGCGCGTGCATAAGTGTAATTGCATGCCATTAATAAAGAGTGCTACTAACAACACTGCTGCAATTAACGTGCGCTGGACGCGACATTGGCATGAGGGGTGTTCCGCATGCGGCACTTTACAACTCAAGCCTGCAGGGGCCACTTTTCATTCTAAGACACAACAACTCGGAGCAGTGTCCCCGAATTGCGGCACCCTCGGGGCGCTTGTTCAGTGAAACGATCGGTGAAAATGCATCCTTAATAAGATGAGTCATTCTGTTTGCACATTTCAGGAAAGGCTGAGGATACTTTTATCAAATGGTGTGTAGAAGTGTTTTATGTTCTATGTTATACGACCTGGAATGCGCATTCTTGTCGAGTAAATTTTGGTGTGTCGTGAATGAACATGTGAACAGGTTGCAAAAACTATATACACTACGGAAACTGCATGTTTTAAAATTCATAACTCAATGCTGGAGGAGTTGTGATGATAAACAAGTTGCAATGGTAATGGTAAAATGCATCCATTTTTATGCTTCATCTGGCAAGGAGCGCATACAATTACGTCACTTCTGCTTCACACAGTACATGTATCTATCCATAAACAGCTGATGCGAACTACCATTGCAGGGACCCAGCATGCTTATCAGCCGTGGCACTCCTGATCATTCCGTGACCCTCCACTTTGGTCTTTGGTTCTTCGGATAAAGTCAGAAGGACCTTAATTTTCGTCCAAAGCCTGGAAGCGCCTGCTCGCGCAGCAATTCCATTACTCATGGTGCTTTGCCTGGTAGAATATACACGATTGATCGAATTAACGCATATCTACAAGTCCGAGACCGAAAGGATAGCTATTCCCTATATCACATTCGCCGAAGGTAGCACCGGCTGCATACGTGGCGATGAATTCCCACGCACCATTGCCCAAGATAATTGTACGCGCTTTTAACGTACCAGATTTCCATCTCCATGGTCGCCGAATTTGTGGCAATTGCCAGTCTTGAACATCACATTCCCAGCATACTTTGGATGATGGCGTAGTTTACACTCATCCATTATAGTCCGGAACAAAAACCCTACGTTCGTCATTAGCAATCAGTTTTTACATCGATAAGCCTTCTAACAGGAACCACCTTCAGGACCAATTATCAAGCTTCATTTGGACATTTAGCTGCCAAATTTAACTCAAGTTGCCATGCATTGGCGCGGACAGGGGG